TGAACTAGTTATCTTCTTTATACAGCAAAAAATAAACAACGAAAGGTTACCGCCCATAGCCAATCCACTTGGCGAGTGGATTGCCTCGCCGTGTCAGTCATGCGGTTTGTTTGGACCACGTTTCACCACTTTGGGTAATGTGGATTGGTGCAGGAGTGGGGGCTAAGACTGGTTCAGATATCACTCGCCACTGATGTTAGCCGTGACCAGAATTGAAACTGAGGCGACCATAGTGTAGTCCGCTAACCACTGCACCACCGCTCCACCCCAACAATCAATTATTCAACCACCACCACCATCATCCCTTTGGGGTGAATAAATATATATTTTTTAATCTTCACTGTAAACTACTTAAAATGAATTAATAAAGGTGCCCAGTTTTGGAAGGGCGTTGCCCCCCCACCCCCCACGCAAACTTCGCCCATGGCAAGAGTAATTGTTATTTGGAGACATCGGCTGCTCCTTGCCATATGAACGTGGAGTTTATACCATTGGCTCAGTACTGGCAACACAGATGAGCACTGCCCAGTGCTCTCCTTTAAGAAAGAGAGACGGTTGACATTTTGACTGACCAGCTTTTGCGGTTTTCTTTTATCACGACGATTTCTGTCAGCACGATCATACAAAAAAATAACTTGAAGTCTAACAATGGCTGAGTCACAAATTAGATTTAAGGCGCTTTTTTCCCCCTCTCTCGTCATTATCGGCGAGTTAGCGCCGCTTTGGCGAGATGCATAATACGCAGGTGAGGTGTTGAGTGTCTGTAACGCGTGCTGACGAATGCCGTTCAAGCTTAAAAACTCAACGAGATTGACAGACGTGGGAGCGTTTCGCTCTCATACAGACACATCAGCAGGTACACCTCAGCTAATTAAACAAACTAAACAAACTTTTTTGTTCCTATATTTTACTCGGTAAGGCCAACTGAGCGATGCAGCTATTTTCTTTCAGAAGCGACCTGGCCACAATTGATTGCGCAACCAATTGGCTTAACCGCGTGGACATTTATAGCAGCCAAAAAAATACTCTAAACGCGTGATGTTGATGCTATATGTGGAGGGGGAAAACCCGCAAGGACCCGAAGAAAAATCCACGCAAACCACGGGGTCGGGATTGAACCCCACGACCTGCTGTGCGACAGGCGAGGTCGTTCGCATCTCTCCACCGTGGCGCCCCCATCTGCCGCCGCCACTTTCAGGGTCTCCTCACTCATAAACGGCTTGGGACTTCGTCGTCGTCTGCAGACTTCTGAGCAGTCTGTAGTTGAGTTCAGCTCACTGCTCTTCTATTCCTGCGTTCGGCAATTTGTTCGGGAGCTGAGTGACAATGTCGAGGGTCTGCTAGCCAAGCCCGAGAGGACTTCAGGAGAGAGTTCGTGTCGTTTTGCTATTCCTCCTCCTCCTCCTCCTCCCGTCGAAGGAGCGCAGACTGCAGTGGGTTCACTGCGTGGTCCATAGTTCCGGTTGCGAGGTCACAATCGCACTGCTGCGGCTTGTGTCTGTCATTTACCATTTCATCTCACCGATCAGCCAAAATTGTTATGAAGACCCATGTAAATACCGAGCAGTCTGTAGCTGGGGGCATGGCTTGCTGATGAGCCCTAATGAGGGTGAATGTAAGTGAATTGCGGCCACATCTCCCATGCTGCCTAACGTTCGTCAAAAGCTTGGCGGCCGAAACGTTGAACAGGATTCGCCGGCGGATAAAACCGAACATTAACATCTGAAAGTTTGTTTTCATTTGTTTGTTATTCTCGCCTAAGCAGCATTAACACAATTGATCAAACAGTATTTACATATTCACATTGACACGTGTAAATATATATACAGACACATGCGCACACATTCAGCTTTACAGCCTATTATACCCCCTTTTTCCCACTGGCGCATCCGAGCCAAACTAGTGCAGGTCCATCATGGTATGGGCTGCTTTTCCACTGGTCAGTCCGTGAGCCGAGCCAGAAGCAAACGGTGATATCCCAGCCTCACAAGACGTTTCAATCGGGCTCTGGGTAAAAAACTGGGCCAGGGTTGAGAGGGGGCTATCGACGGGTTCATCGCGTGTGGCGACGTCAGGTCAGCACGTTAACCACGTTAAGTTGCGGTTGTACCCGAGTCAAGAGCCGTATGGCTCACGGGGCTATACCTAATAAACGAAATGAAACTGAAACCACACGTTCGTGTGGTTAATGCAGACACGATTCCTTGCAAAAGGTTTCTGTTTGGTGTTTTAACATCTTAACACGAAACTGTTTTATTGCCAGAAATGGAAGAAGAAAAAAACAATTATTATATTTTGGTACTGGAAAGAAAGGTACCATGATGTAGCTCCTCACCCCGAGCTATAAATACCCCGATAGTGGCATTGTCTTTGTGCTGTTCGCCTTTTGACGTCCTCTGGTCTAACACTGTTTGAGACTAGGCCCTAAAGAAAGCTGTCTCTGGTGTGGACCAATCAGTTTCAAAGACAATGCACATATTACTCTTTGTTTTTTTTCGGTAAAGCCACGTAGGTAAAATAAAAAACAATTAAATCACGACGTTTCGGAGGCAACACAAGCTTCCGTCTTCAGGTAGCACAGTCACAGCAAGATCGCTGCATCAAGATGCAAGATCGCTGCATCAAGATGCAGCTTCCGTCTTCAGGTAACACAGGCACAGCAAGATTGCTGCATCAAGATTGCTGTGACTGTGCTACCTGAAGACGGAAGCTTGTGTTGCCTCCGAAACGTCGTGATTTAATTGTTTTCTTTTATTATTATTTTACCTACGTGACTTTACCGGAAAAAAAAAGAGTATGAATCCTTGCAGTCACGAAAGCTTCAAATCTAGAAATGCACATACTGTCAGAGCATGGTTTTTGTTTGTATGTTCACCACAAGTATGTGTGGTTAATGCAGACATGATTCCTTGCAAAATGTTTCTGTTTGGTGTTTTAACATCTTAACACAACTGTTTTATTGCCAGAAATGGTAAAACCTAAAGGTCAGCACGCTGTGTTTAGTTTTGTTGTCCTTCCCATGCACCTACCATTAGCACGGCTGGATACGTACGGTGCAAAAGAAGTTCAACATGCATACACACACAGGGCCACCGCGCCATGTACACGCGTCCCGGCTGGTTTGTTTGCAAGCGAGACGTCACCGGTACTGTACGGCTCGGCTTCTGCAGTGGAAAAATCAACACGGCGCTTCCTGTGCCGTTCCGGACTGGGTTGGTTCGGCACGACCCTGGCACGGCTCAGTTTAGTGCAGTGGAAAAGAGATATAAGGCGCACGCACTCACACACGCTCACCCATCATGCGCCATGCATTATTACCCCTCAACGCACAATTCTATAATTTCAAAATTGGGGTCAGGCAAAATTGTCACAAGGTGTGTGATGGGGGGGGGCGGGTCGGGCGTCATGAGGGGGGCAGGTGAGTGGGAGGAGTCAGGGGGAGCTGCCCCAGGTGATAGATGACGTCACCAGTGTGAAGGAAAGACAGAGGGGGGTCATGAGGGGGGCAGGTGAGTAGGAGGAGTCAGGGGGAGCCGCCCCAGGTGACAAACGACGTCACCAGTGTGAAGGAGTGGCAAGGGGGGGGGGTCATGAGGGGGGCAGGTGAGTGGGAGAGTCAGGGGGAGACGACGTCACCAGTGTGAAGAAGTGGCAAGGGGGGGGGGTCATGAGGGGGGCAGGTGAGTGGGAGGAGTCAGGGGGAGCTGCCACAGGTGACAGACGACGTCACCAGTGTGAAGGAGAGACAGAGGGGGGTCATGAGGGGGGCAGGTGAGTGGGAGGAGTCAGGGGGAGCTGCCACAGGTGACAGACGACGTCACCAGTGTGAAGAAGTGGCAAGGGGGGTCATGAGGGGGGCAGGTGAGTGGGAGGAGCCTCACGTGACAGGTGAGGGGACAAGAGATCGGCAGTGGAGGAGGTGGCTGGGGGGGGGGCACTGCGGTGCGTGGGTGGCACGCGAGTCGGAGGAGGGCGGCTGAGTGGGGCGTGCAGGGGAAGGGGTCGCCGGGTTCCCACCGCTGCGAGAGGAGGGACGCCGATTGTAGACGTCGAGACGCTGTGGTGGCCGAGACTCAAATGCGCGCGTGCGACGCTTGCTAAATCGGTGGGCCACGGCCGGTGAACGCAGCCTGAAAAGGTATCGCTCGGGGGCAATTACCGAAGGCGGATCGGGATCAACGTGACGCACTAAAGAGGTCAACAAGAGCTGGTGGTTTGTTTGTTTTTTATGGGGGGGGGAGAGGTTGCGGGGAGAAGACTGAAAATTGATAATGAAATGTGATGCAATTCCTCTGTGGCCTGAAAGGAGGACGTTTCTTGTGGCCCCTCCATGGCATTTGGGACACTAAATGTGTGAAACAATGGCGGGAATTGATTTCGAAATGGTGGAGAGTAATGGCAAAGATTAACATCTCCTGGAGCGTTCCGAGAGTTCTGTCACTTTTAGCCGCGGCGGCACAAGCCGCAACACTCCCTCTCTGGCTCCCTCCCTCGCTCCCTCCCTCCCTGGCTCCCTCCCTCTCTGGCTCCCTCCCTCGCTCCCTCCCTCCCTCGCTCCTTCCCTCTCTGGCTCCCTCCCTCCCTCTCCGGCTCCCTCCCTCGCTCCCTCCCTCTCTGGCTCCCTCCTTCCCTCTCTGGCTCCCTCCCTCCCTCTCTGGCTCCCTCCTTCCCTCTCTGGCTCCCTCCCTCCTTCTCTGGCTCCCTCCTTCCCTCTCTGGCTCCCTCCCTCCCTCTCCGGCTCCCTCCCTCGCTCCCTCCCTCCCTCTCTGGCTCCCTCCATCTCTAGCTCCCTCCCTCTCTAGGCCCCCTCCCTCCCTCGCTCCCTCCCTCTCTGGCTCCCTCCATCTCTGGCTCCCTCCCTCTCTGGCTCCCTCCATCTCTGGCTCCCTCCCTCTCTAGGCCCCCTCCCTCTCTGGCTCCCTCCCTCTCTAGGCTCCCTCCCTCTCTGGCTCCCTCCCTCTCTAGGCTCCCTCCCTCTCTGGCTCCCTCCCTCTCTGGCTCCCTCCCTTTCTGGCTCCCTCCCTCTCTAGGCTCCCTCCCTCTCTCGCATGCTCACGTCATCAACACTTCTCCGCGTACGCTCATTGCCCGTGGTGCGTTCACAACTTTCAGCCGAAGCCCGTTTCAGTTACAACAAATGCATTCACTTCCCGGTGATATTCGAACGGCAAAAGTGGTCCTGCAGCCCGTTAAACGCGACGAAAAAATAAGGCTTCTTTGGAGCACCGCATGCATGCCCCGTCCATTGTACACCCGGGTGGCAATTGTTTAGACATCAAGAACGGCATTAATTGACGTGGCACGGGCGAGAGAAGAGGTTGGGCAGATGTGGCAGACGAGGACCTGATGATGAGTGGACTTGTCACAGCACGTGGGACCGGCGGTCTCAAGATCGGCCTCTGCGGAGGAGGCTTTCGTTTAAAGATGCATGTAAAACTTTTTTCGCACCGTTCGTCGCCAACCGCGCTCATCGGAGGTGCGGGGGAAGGACAACAAACTAAACACAAAAAGCAGTTCGATAGAAATGAGTTTTCAATGGAGATGATTTAAAAGTGCCAAAGCTCCAGGGACTTCCTAATATCGGAAAGAAGAGCGTTCCAGACGGCCGCGGAAGCGCATCTGAAAGCGCGCGACGCGGTGACTGTCTCTGTTCGAGAGCCAGCCAAGAACCGCTGCTGCTGCTGCTGCGAGGACGACCAGAGATGCTGACTGAGCGGCCGCTAGGCAGCTGTTTTGTGGAGACAACGGTCACACGTGCAGGAGTGGAACGTCGTGCGGATAAAACGGAGTTGGAAAACGTTGATGCCGTGCAAAGCGCAGTCGCACGAGTTACACGCTCGGAGCCCGCCCGGTGACTTCTCCTCAGCCAAGACTCCGCCACTCCACGTGGCCTCGAGTGCACCTAGCCTGGCGCACGCGCCAACGTTGACATCACAAACGGCGTGCTGTTTGTGGTCGCAGCATGATTGGAGAGCGCGTCTAGTTGTTGGTGCCAGAGATGTCCCCTGAAGTAGCAGTCTTGTCCTTACTAATTAACCGAAAGATGAACTACAACAGCAACAACAGCAACAACAACAACCGCCATTTGCCACACAACGTTTGCGGCGACATCACCACAGCGCTCGTGCCATGCTGGGGGCGGCTTGAGGCCACGTGAAGTGTGGACACTTCGGGTGGAAATGCGGGCCCACGTTGGGACGCGCGATGCGTTGCCCCTCTCTTGCGATGCGGCGACCTGGGATGCGTCGAGTTACCTACTACAAGCGACTCCAGACAGTAGTAGTTTCTGTGAGCGTCAATTTCCACGGCTGTTTCCCGACACGACTTCTGGGGGGGCGTGAAGGGGTGGGAGAGATGGGGAGCCTGGGGGGGGGGGTGGGTTCCACGAGGAGGGAAGACGGCTTCACTCCGTGACGACGACGCAAACCTCCGATCACACGACGAGTCCGGGAAGTGACCGTTGACCAAAACCCAAATGTGAAATTATAAATGTGTATATATATATATAAAAAAAAATACATATATGACAAAACGCAAACAAGGTCCACCAACTCGCACGCACACACCGACTCGAGTTTCTCGAGAAGAAGCTGAACCCAAGGGCCAGGGGTTTCGGGCGGAATTGGAGTTCCGTGGGTGATGGGTGTCACGACGTGACCTGCGGCCGGAATCCCTCCTTGGTCACGGCCTCCTCGTAGTCCGACTGGCAGAGGATCATGCTGTTCTTCAAGAAGAACTTGTCTCCTACGCAGAACCTGAGGTGGCAGTCGTGGGGAAGACGCAGACGGTGACGTGAGTTTGACACTTTTGTCGTCAGCAAAGCGGTTGCACTGACACTGCCACCGTGAGACATTCACAGCCACCCCTTGCTCGACGGTGATCCCCAACAGTCCGTTATTTTACGTGTCCCCTTGTGACTGTGTCTCCATGTCTCTGTGTCCCTGTGTCCGAGTCCCCATGTCCACATTTCTCCGAGTCCCCATGCCCTCGTGTCCCCATCTATCCATGTCCCCGTGGCTCGGTGTCTTTGAGTTCCCATGTCCCCGGTGTGTCCATGTCCCCCTGTGTCAGCATCCCTGCGTCTCTCACCGCTGGTTGCAGAGCTGGCAGGCGAAGCAGTCGAGGTGGTAGACGCTGTCGCGCACGCGCATCACCATCTCGAACGCCGGGATGAGCTTGGTGCACGCCGCACAGTTGCCGGTTACGCCGAACAACCTGCCCCATCACACCATCAAAACCACCGTCACCATCACCACCAGCACCACCATCACCACCACCATCAACCACCATCAACATCAACACCATCACACCATCAACATCGCCGTCACCATCACCACCAGCACCACCATCATCACCACCATCATCAACATCAACACCATCACACCACCACCATCAACACCACCGTCACCATCACCACCAGCACCACCACCGTCACCACCATCACCATCATTATCAACATCAACACCATCACCACCACCATCATCATCATACACCACCATCATCATCGATGCCACCATCATCATCAACACCATCATGGGCCTCCCGGAGGTCAACTCAGCCTCAAATGAGTACCTGGTGCGGTGTGTAAACATCGCCACTGGGGAGACAAAGGCGGTCGGGCGTGGTGCTGGCCACCCACCCCCTCGTGTGCCGTGGCGCCCTTCATAGGTGCTCGCTAACAGCAGTTACCCAAAGAGTCTGTTAAGCCTATATGGGGGATCTTTGTCTTTGTAATCTAATATATGTGGGGCACTGCAATGTACGACCGCAAACCCCCACCCCCCTTCCCCAAAAACACAATTGGGTGCATAAATAGGAGCTCGCCGATTGGACAGCGGTGGCAGCCAATAGATGGGCACCCTCCCGCAAGCTTCCATTGATCACCAGGCAATTACCAGCCAGGCAGCAGTAAATTACGCGGCACATTAAGCAGGGGAATGGGAAGGGATTTCTCATCAGTGTCAGGACGTGTGATTAATGTGTGAACGCATGGGCTGTGTGTGTGTGTGGGTCTCTCTCCCTCACAGCTCCCCCCCCCCCGCCTCTCTCATCTTCTCTCTCTCTTTTGCACACAACGACAAAGATTCCCCGTGTAGCCTAAACAGACTGTTGGAGCAAAGTGCTGTTTAGCGAGCGCCGATGAAGGCACGGGGCACACGATGCAGTGGGTGGCCAGCACCGCGTCTCCCCCATGCCAATGTTTCACAAGCTTCATCTCGTTTGAAGGCTGAGTCGACCTAGGGGAGACTCAGGACTGGATCAGACAGCAGTCGGGTGGTGTGGGGAGCTCTGACACAGTAGCGTCATGAACACACTGCGCTGAGCTTGATTCCCGGCCAGGGCTCACGTAAAGACACCGATGCCCCGTAGTGTACGCGTATAACCCACATCCAATATTGGGGTATAAACTTCCTGCTATTGCACGCAGGTTAGAAACAGAGTCCTTGATGGAACAGAATGCTGAAAAGAAGCGTTGAGCGGTGCATACTTGGAATAACTATTGAAACACTTTTATTTTAATTTAACTTTACCTGGTAAGGCCCACTGAGCTACGTAGCCCTTTTCACAAGCGACCTGGGCCACACCAGATAGCTCAACGAAGTGGCTGTCACGTGGACGTTTATAGCAACGAAATACTCGAAACTAAACGTTGATTCTAAATGTGGAGGGAAAAACCGGAGGACCCGGAGAAAAATTGCCACGACCACGGGTAGAGAGAGAGAGACACGCGAACTCAAAATATACAGCAGCAAGCGTCATGGTCGGGATCGAACCCACGACCTCCTGTATACCAGGCGAGGTAGTTAACATCTCCTAGCCACCGTGATGATGATGATGAGAGAGAGAGAGACACGCAGACTCTAAATATACAGCAGCAAGCGTCATGGTCGGGATCGAATCCACGACCTCCTGTATACCAGGCGAGGTAGTTAACATCTCCTAGCCACCGTGATGATGATGATGAGAGAGAGAGAGACACGCAGACTCTAAATATACAGCAGCAAGCGTCATGGTCGGGATCGAACCCACGACCTCCTGTATACCAGGCGAGGTAGTTAACATCTCCTAGCCACCGTGATGATGATGATGATGAGAGAGAGACACGCAAACTCTAAATATACAGCAGCAAGCGTCATAGTCGGGATCGAACCCACGACCTCCTGTATACTAGGCGAGGTAGCTAACATCTCCTAGCCACCGCGGCGTCCCATGACACAGGTTCGAGACGTCGCATTGAGATCGGGCGTTGAGAAAAGTGAGCGAGCGGCGCTTGGGCAGAAGGGATGATGACCGGCGGGCGGTAGAGACTAACGGTGGAGTGGCAGTCAAAGGAAAGAACGCGATCGGGTGGCGTTCCATGGCAGAGGTGGAGCGATCATTGATCGTTACATCACGAAACCGTGAGAGTAACCCGATAGGCTTGCCAAGACCTTCGTCCAACAGTGGATAGAGAATGACGAATGAATATGACGAAACGCACATATGCTACCCTCCACTAACGTACGTACCTTACAGTGATATGTGCACATCATCATTGTCGTCACCATTACCATCGTTACCATCATCATAGCCGTCATAATCACTACCATCGTCAGTTCAACACGTAGGCTTTCGCAATCAATATTATTCATAATAGAGGTTGTTTTTTTTACTAGTTGGCTGGGTCGGGTGGTGGCTGGTTTAACGACACATTTATATATTTACGCGATCTAACCCAAAAAAACTATTGTGGACTACCATCATCATCACCGTCACCGTTATCGTCGCCATCATCACCGTTGCCATCATCATCATTATTACCATCATCATTATTACCATCATCATTATTACCATCATCATTATTACCATCATCATCATTATTACCATCATCATCATTATTACCATCATCATTATTACCATCATCATTATTACCACCATCATCATTATTACCGTCATCATTATTACCATCATCACCATTGCCATCATCATCATTATTACCATCATCATTATTACCATCATCATCATTATTACCACCATCATTATTATTACCACCATCATTATTATTATCATCATTATTACCATCAATATTATTACCATCATCATTATTACCATCATCATCATTATTACCATCATCATCAATGCCATTATCATCATCTCCCTCCTACTTAATCAAAGCGGGTTTCGCATTCATACATTTATGACGCAGAGGCAGGCAGGGATTGGCACCGTGAAAGAGTGGAGTGAGACAAAGACGGCTGTGTGTGAGGGGGGAGGGGGTGGTTCTGGGTGGGGGGTGGGGGCTAGGCTCGGCGGTGTCTCAGCCTCGTGTGGCTGAGAGATAAGTGCCAGGAGCTTGGCAGCGTTCACCTACGCTCGGGGTTCTATTCCGCGCAAATCATGCGGGGAAACTTCGCACAGACGTGGGGGAGGCACACGTGTGCATTGCATTGCCACATTTGCACGCACGCACATACATACACGTGCTCACTGTCAAGCACAAACAGTCCCCCCGGAATCGCATTTAACAGACTGTTGGGGCAAGTGCTGTGAGCGAGCACTCATGACGGTCGGTACGGCGCACGAGGGGTTTGAGGTGGCCAGCACCAGGCCCGTCCGCCTATCTCCCCAGGGGCGATGTTTACCCACAGTACCAGGGACTCATTTAAGGCTGAGTTGCCAACCTGGGGAATGCTCACGACCGGCTCAGATGATACTGTACTTCACTAAAAGTTCGGTCCGTGAGCGGCAATCGAAACTCGGGTCGTCGGGATCTTGGCAGAGGACGCTAACCACTGCGCCGCCGCTCCCCCACGAGGCTTTGCACGCACACACACACACAACAACAACACCCCAGCGTGTTGCTGTATATCCAGCCAGGTGACTCAACGGTAGAGCGAGCAGCCTCCAATTGAAAGGTTGCGAATTCAACTCCTGGTTTGAGGGGTGGAAGGTTGCCTCAGCCCATCATCCCCTCGGGGCTCGGTAAAACGAGTACCACTTTGTGGGGAGTCGACAGCGGCCACCCTTCGGTTGGAATATCCGTGGCCGGCAATTAACAGCGCAGTGCACTAACCACCCCCACCCCACGGCCAAACCTTAGAGGAAACAAACCGAATGAATGCCGCAATAATCTTGTAGCAAGCAGAGGGAAACATTCTTCCGACAGCAACTGAGGCCAGCGTGCATCCGCGTGTCCCTGCGCTTGTGCCGAGTGCCTCTCTGCTGCTCATTACATGAGATGCGTTTCCATCCCATTAGATTAAAGCAGTGTTTCCATCAAGCACGTGAATTACGCTCAGGCGCGTGCATTTTTTTTTGGTTAAAAATCCGATCCCAATTTTGATTGAGGTTCGTTTACAGTCGCCCATTTGCCATTAATGTCGAGTGCATTGGCCTTTATTTTCAATTTTCTATTTTATTGGAAAAGGCTTAATTCTCATCTGAATTTGTAAAGGAGGTTTATTGAGGTTGATTTTCTTTTTTTTTTGCAGGATTAGCTGCCATGGGGACTGGTTTGTTTGTTTACTGCAGAAAGGTCACATGATACAACTGGTCTATTGTCTAAAGGCCCCACCAGAGACCAGTGTGTCTATCTAGTGTCTAAGACCCCATCAGAGACCAGTGTGTCTATCTAGTGTCTAAGACCCCCTCAGAGACCAGTGTGTCTATCTAGTGTCTAAGACCTCATCAGAGACCAGTGTGTCTATCTATTGTGTAAAGGCCCCACCAGAGACCAGTGTGTCTATCTAGTGTCTAAGACCTCATCAGAGACCAGTGTGTCTATCTATTGTCTAAAAGCCCCACCAGAGACCAGTGTGTCTATCTAGTGTCTAAGACCTCATCAGAGACCAGTGTGTCTATCTAGTGTCTAAGACCCCATCAGAGACCAGTGTGTCTATCTAGTGTCTAAGACCTCATCAGAGACCAGTGTGTCTATCTAGTGTCTAAGACCTCATCAGAGACCAGTGTGTCTATCTAGTGTCTAAGACCCCATCAGAGACCAGTGTGTCTATCTAATGTCTAAGACCTCATCAGAGACCAGTGTGTCTATCTATTGTCTAAGACCCCATCAGAGACCAGTGTAACTATCTAGTGTCTAAGACCCCATCAGAGACCAGTCTATCTAGTGTCTAAGACCCCATCAGAGACCAGTGTGTCTATCTATTGTCTAAGACCCCATCAGAGACCAGTGTGTCTATCTAGTGTCTAAGACCTCATCAGAGACCAGTGTGTCT